CGCTTTGATATCACTTTATTGATAATCTTCAGTAAAATGTTACTTTTCAATGGATCTTGAACTTTTAACTTTTTTTTTTTAAATCATGTTTTGTTAGCTGAATTTATGCATCCATCTGAAAACTTCTATGACCAGAAAATGTGGATAAATCACCTTCCATTGTAAACTGCGCTTGTTCCTGTTGTGTGTCCTCAATCTGGCAACCCGCGTGAGCGAGGAGGCGTGAGAAACAACTCTCTCCGATATGTAGGGCCCAAGCACCGGTGGACCCTATTGGAATTGCCCAGTTTCTTCTTCATCTTCTCCAAAATTAATCGCATTTTTGAGGGCCTAAACATGCTTGAAAACTCAAGTTTCAGAAGTGGGTGTGGAAAAATGGCTCAATAGCGCCACCTATAAAATTTCAACGAAGTGCCCCTCGAGCTATGTTTCACATGCATGTACGAAATTCGGTAGACACATGTAACACACCAATACCTACAAAATAGTCCCCCCGGTACGAAGCCCGAAACCCAACAGGAAGTCAGTTACTTTGAATTTTTCTGCAAATTTTGGGTCGTTTTTGCCATTTTCAGGTGTTGTTTCACTTATTTAGAGCTGGAAGCACCAGCAACAAACCACACTGACGACCACCTTAAATATTAAATTATGTAGCTGGTCCGTTTGACCCAGATGGATTCTTGAGTTGACAGAAATACTGGTTAACCTATGATTTTTTTTTTTCATATTTTGTGACTTATGTTTGTGGGTCAGTTTGAATGGTATATTTCATGGATGCACATCCAAAATAATATTTTTTTTTTTTTATGCGTCTTCGGAGAAGGGTGTTTACATTTAAGCATCTGGCAGATGTTCATATCTGAAGAAATGTGTTGGGAACGGTAAATTCATGTTGAATTCCTTAAGTATGAACATTTGCCTATGTGCTTAATTTATTTTTTTATTATGTTTAATATTTTAAATTATTTTTTAAAGCAAACTTGTTTTACACTGTACTGATTTTTTTTTAAATCTTATATTAAAATAAACTTAAGATGTTACTTGGTGTTGTGTAGTTGATTAACTACAAGATTATTATTATTACAAGATTACTATTAAGATTATTATATAAAGTGACAACAGAATACCAAAGTGCACTAACACAAAAAGAAAAAGCAAACTCTTATCAGCATAAATAAATTGCATTTATACATTTTAAGGCACTAAATGGAGACACCAAAATAACACAATTAGCAGAACACTAATGAATTAATTATACAGTTAATAGATCATTTACGTTCATCCAACCCATAAATGCAGTTCATTTATGCTTGAAGCATTGGTTACTTTTTGTTTGTGTGCTTTGATATCACTTTATTGATAATCTTCAGTAAAATGTTACTTTTCAATGGATGTCTTTGAACTTTGAACTTTTTTTTTTTAAATCATGTTTTGTTAGCTGAATTTATGCACCCCAAAAATACTTTATATGTATAAATGAGCACAGGACTTTATATCATTTGAAAATGAGACATTTTGAACATTTATTAAACTAAACAAAATAAGCTTTGACAATTTACTCTGAAACATGGAGAAAAAAAAACTTGCGTTAAACTTAAAAACGAAGCTATGTTAGCATTTTTTTGTTTTATATATCAGATCACAGCTCCCTCGGCTGTACTTTCTCTGGTCTTGATGCAGAAAATAAGACATGAGCGCCTCCATGCGGTAGAACATTTCACTGCATACAGATAGTTGATTGTATTACATAAAAATCATAAGCGTCCTTGGTGTTGGATATTAAGTGTGTATGTTGTCTGTTACAGTTTTCCTCTTGGTTCATAATGTGACCAAAATCTCAATAATCTTTAAACCCTTTATATCAGACAAATTAAAGCAAACCATGATGTGACAAATTTAGAAGTCTTTCAAATAGAGCACATCAAATGTCAACTTATTTCATTAAATATATTAGTCATATGTAGGCTTAAGGCGATACTTGTTCACAATAAAATTTAAATAAGCAACGTTGTAACAGTATTTTCTTTTAACAAAAAAAAAGCATGTATTTAAAAAATTTAAGTTGAAATTGGTTAAACTATTTTGATGGGTTGCCATGATGACTTACTGATTATATCATCATTGGGTCAATTAAACGCTGCAAATAATTATATCCAACATGTAAGATACTAATCAAAACGTACTATGCTTTTACCATGTTGTTGGGGGTGATTTTAGACATGTACTATGATATACCATCTTTGAAGAACCTTGGATGTAAATGAATATAAATATGGAGCACAATGTTATATGAACACATATGAATGTATTGCCTTCTGATACAATCGCTGTACTACAGCAGCTACTGCTCTTTGTAAGGGGAGCCACCAGATGGCATTTGCTGGGTTCTTTGCAGCAGAGGTTTTTCCCAGTTGTTTGCACATATCCCTGAACAGATACATGATTGACTTAAAATTAAAGCCATGAATGACAGATACCAGTGCTACAGATTTTTCATATGGACTGCTTGACATGTGAGATTTATTACATTTTATGGTACAAGGAATAGTTCACCCAAAAATAAAAATGTTTTGCTGAAAATTAACACCCTCAGGCCATCCAAGATGCAGAGGAGTTTGTCTTCATCTGAACAGATTTGGAGACATTTAGCATAACATAAATCGCTCACCAATGCTCTCTGCAGTGAATGGGTGCCGTCAGAATGAGAGTCCAAACAGCTGATAAAAACATCACAATAATCCACAAGTAATCCACACCACTCCATTCCAACAATTAACGTCTTAAAAACTGTGTGTGATTCTTCATTAATGCGTTTAAACTTTAAACCATCACTTCTGGCCAAAAAACTATAGCCTAATCCAGTGTTTCTCAACCAGGGGTCCGTGGACCCCTAGAGGTCCTTGACGTAAGGCCAGGGGGTCCGTATAAAGTATGAATTTTTGTATAAATTTTGTATATTTTGACATGAAAAATCCAATATAGCTGATGATATGGCCAAATACTGGACAAGTCAACTAACTTGAATTATACTTGACTGCATTTGGTCCTCACAAATACATAAATGATACATAGATGAGTCAATTTTGTTCTGGGGTGTCCTTGAGGATGGTTCTGAATTGGACTGGGGTCCGGTACGCCAAAAGGTTGAGATTCACTGGTCTAATCCATAATAACACTTCCTCCAGTGGAAAAAAAATCCATCCACTGTCATCCCCTCACATCAAATTCCACCAACATGAACTATTTTCGCTTGTTAATGGTGATCTGTGCATATTTCTCTCCTGATTCAGACGAGACAACTTTTTCACTGCAGAAAGCAATATTATGGATAGAGGACTCTTATTTTAGCCAGAAGCAATAGTTTGAAGTTAAAACGCGTTAATGGATTTGTTTCTTCATAAGATTTAAGATAGACTGAAGTTAGATAGTTTTTTGGCCAGAAGTGATGGTTTAAAGTTTAAACGCATTAATGAAGAATCACACACAGTTTTTAACTTCACAAGACGTTAATTGTTGGAATGGAGTGGTGTGGATTACTTGTGGATTATAGTGATGTTTTTATCAGCTGTTTGGACTCTCATTCTGACGGCACCCATTCACTGCAGAGGATCCATTGGTGAGCAAGTGACGTAATGCTACATTTCTCCAAATCTGTTTCTGATGAAGAAACAAACTCATCTACATCTTGGATGACCTGAGGTGAGTAAATTTTCATTTCATTTTTCAGCAAATATTCATTTTTGGGTGAGCTATTCCTTTAAAGGCAATCGTATTACATATTAAAAATGTCAGTTAGTCAACTAGTATTTACAGCTCAGGTGACTGCATCAAAAGGTTCTGTGGTTTCATGAGCCAAGATTTAAATCACATGCCAAACGGGGTGTTTATCCCAAATGTAAAAGGATTCCTCCCACACGCCGCCCTCCATTGTAAGTATCTGGAGAAACAACCCGATTCCTATTTCACACAGAAGCTGCATTGAAGCCGAACCCATGCATACAAAAGACAGAGTGTCATAAAAGATGTTTCAGGTCATTCTGTGCTGTCTGAGCCGCCGATTGCATACAAAAAAGTGCAAACATGCAATTTTTTTGTTTGTTTTTGCATTATTTTCAAAGTATTGACATTCATAATATGGCTCCATCTATATCGGAGGCGTTTATTTAAAATTATGTGAGAAGAAGTGTGTAAAATTTGTGCACGCGCCATCCTCCCCCCGGCCGTTTGCACGCTCACATGCGCACGCTGCAGAATGTATGTCTCACATTCCGGGCACATGGCAACACCAGCTAAATATAGCCTGCCAGCCCAGCAGCACGCTGGGATCAGCGTTTCTTCCTGCGAACGCAGAATCCCCATCACGTAACGCCCCCTCCCTCCTCCTCTTTACGCTGTCCTCTCATCTGCTCGTGCGTTCACTTCTCACCGAGGAACTCGAGCTGGTTGCCAAAGGCAGCAGTTCATTACAGAGTCAAACGGTGTGTGCTGCTCTCCGAGGACTTCACCTCACAACGATGTCGAAAGCATTGTGTGCAGCAGGTGTATTGTCATTAACTAAAAAAAAACCATTAAAAAATTAATTACTTGAAATAAAATAAATATTAACTCAAATAACATATATATATATATATATATATATATATATATATACACACACATATATA